TTTTTTTTTTTTTTTTTTTTAAAGAAAGGCCGTCACGATATCCCTCTATCCTGGTGGTGGTAAGAGAACCGTCAGGATTGAGGGCTTACCTGTCGGGCTGCTCCATCTATTGGTGGGGAGCGGCACCTGCTGGAAACTGGGGCTGTGGTTATTTTCCAGTCAACCCGGGGCTCCGTCATCCCGCGGAGCTGCTAGTATCACCCTTCCCATTTTAGGAGCACCCTTTATCTATTTACCCCAGCCCTGTTTCAGCAGCCCCCCTGATTGATTATTGATCGATCTGAAATAGGGACACACCAGGAGGCAGCATTGATTACCCTCTCGAGGAGAGGATTGACTGACCTCCCTTTTGCGAAGCGAGTCATACAATCGTAATTACTAGCCCTGTCCATCCTCCCTTTAGACAACCGTGGACGTCCTTCCCCTCAACACACGAGGGACTGACCAGCATTCCTTGTTAGGAGTCTCCGCTGTCATACACCCTCCACTAACCCTTAAATCCTTCTACCAGGCTGCAGTTTAGCCTACTGTCCCTTGTGTCCTTCAATCGTGTCTGTATGTAAGTATCATGGTAGTCTTGTGGGTAGTTTGCAGCTCACTCGTCTCACTATGTTCAGCATTCCATGGGTTCCTTCCCTGACTTGAGAGTCGATGCCTCCGAAGTCTATCTTGAGTTGGGTTCCGCTCCCTGCTTTGCGGGTGCCTAATGTCATTGTCCCTTAAGCGGTCTTGAGGCCTGGTGTGTCCGCTTGAGTCCGTACCCCCCTGGATGTATCTGGACTCTGCCTGAGTCCGGATACATCGAGGGGTAGGGCGTTTTCAGATGTACCCAAAATTTCATCAAATTTTGGCTGATGTTTGGATTTTCAATTTCGTACAAAAAATCAAAAATGTCCGTTTTGACGAAATCGCTGTTCACGTGTGTTTGTTGTGCCGGCCGTGGAAGCAACGTCGCAAGCGGAGGGCGTCAACGAAACGGCAGGCAGGGGGACGTCCGATGGCGGGCATGCAGGTACGCGCGGTCCTGGCTGCAGGTCAGGGCGGAAGACGACCTGCAACGGCGGAACCTCCACGGCGGTACGACCCGTCCATGTACACCCAGCTAGAGTCGTAGGAGACGCCACTGCCCCTGTCGGACGAGGAGCCGGAGACGGAAGAACTTCCAACGTTGCCTCTCGCCAGCGGGTCGACGGAGCTGTTGTCGCAGACGGTGCGAGCAGGCGGGTTGGCAAGCAACGAAGGCGGCGAGTTCACCTCACTCCTGCAGCAAGGATTGGGAGACGACGATGACGGAGGACTTGATCTCAGGTTCGGGTTGTGTTCTGGCGGCGCTAGGGTGGCGAGCCGTACGTTCATCATCGACGTTGATCCTTCGCCACGTGGCCTTCAACATGCTGGAAGTCAGCATACGGAGCAGTCCACACTTCGTGGCGGTGCATCCGTTACTGGCGGTGTTGGGCCATCGCCAGCAGCCGGCTGCATGGATCGACTGCACCGTCCGCCGATCGATTGACAAGTACATGGCCCGCATGCACTTGAGTCGCAGCCGGGTCCCTGCGCATCGGCAGTGCACGTCCTTCGATGCCCAACCGCACAACGCCGACCCAACCTGACCTGAGGGACGAGGGCGCCTGCAGACCACAAGTGCGTCCAGGACCCATTGTGGAGAACATCACATAAGGAGTGTCAAACATGCGGGCACACAGCGATGGCGGCGACGACGATGGCGGTGGCGGTGACGATGCCGACAAAGGATTCAGGGAGGACGTGGAAGCAGGGGACGACGACGACGACATTCCTATTCGGTCTTTGGGGAAGACGGGTGTGAGGGGGAAAGGACGCAGCAAAGGTGTTGTTTGTGGTCGATCCGTTGGCCGTGGCGCCAGAGGTGGCGTCAACGACGACGGTGGGAAGTCTGCGATGTACTGGTCTCCAGAACACCAAATGCTCTTGGTGAAATGCAAGCGGGAGCAAGAGATGCACCTCGCCGGGCAGGGTCACAATTACGGGCGGATGTGGACCAAGGAGTGGAAGTGGGACGACATTGCTAAGCGCATGGCGAACGTGGGGAGGCCTAAAGACGCCAGCGACTGCATGAAGAAGTGTCACTGGGACAATCTCTTCCAAAACTACAAGAAGATACAAAGGTTTTAAAATGCCAGCAGCCAGGCAGATTTCTTCAGGCTATCGAACAAAGAAAGGAAGGAGCACAACTTCAAGTTCCGGATGGAGAGGGTGTTGTACAACGAGATCCATGCAGGCATGCTGGGGAACCATACAATTTTTCCTCCCAACGTCGCCGACACCGGCAGTTGGGACGGGGTGCAGCTGCCCAGGCGAGGAGCGGCTGGTTGGGAGTCTGTTGGAAGTGAGGACGGTGGTGAAGGCTGCCCTGAAGAAAGTTCTTCTGCGAGGGACTCCGACAACAACGCAGACAGTGGGGCTGGAGGCGGGAAGCGGAAGAATGCACGCCAACAGGCGTTGGAGTCGATTGCTGATGTCATGGACCGCCATGGCGAACTGATGTCGTCGACGATCGATCCGTCTAGCAAGCGGCAATGCAGCATATTCACAAGGCAATGCGGCATACTCGAGCGGGAAGTTGCAAAAGCGCACTATGCGGCGTCCGATGAGACGCAGAGGATGATGTGCCACGCGCTTATGGAGATCGCTGCCGTCATCCGTGGTCGGTCACCGGTGTAGGCCGTTCGATTGTGTGTTGATTGAAGTCCAATCATTGCGTTCGTAGTTGGCTTAATTTTTAAAAAAAAAATTCCGTTCACAGATTCTTCTATCGAGGAGAACGGTGGTAGACCGCACGGTGTGTGTGTGTGTGTGTGTGTGTGTGTGTTTTTTTTTTTTTTTTTGGATGGCAGACATAGACTGCTCTAACTTCTTCACATACTGCTGCGAATATGCCTTTTTAACCTCGTACGGCGACGTCGAAAATCGTATGTGCGGGGAACCTTCTTTCATTTTTTAAGGGTTAATTTCAAAATTATTGCTTTTTCGAAGTTTGGCAGCAAAAATGTCGTCCGTTTGAAGTTTCCTTTGCAAAGTTTGCCAGCAAAATTTGCAAAATACCGCATTTTGCCCAGTTTCACAGCAAAGGACCCCTAGGCCCCTGGCCTCAGGGACTCAGGGACTCAGGGTTCCGACCTCAGGCACTCAGCTTTTCTCTTTCTTTTTTTCTTTTTTCTTTTTTTTTCTTTTTTTTTCTTTTTTTTTTTTCTTTTCCATGGGCATGTGCTATGATTCTGGTTGTTCGTTGCCTGAAGGCCAACACTCACTCACATAGACCTCCATGTATGCCCATACATACACAGAAGGAAGGGGAGAGGATAGGAGTATCACACCGCACAGGGAGAGATATGACAGGGTACACTGAAAGTGCAATTCACTCCACTCAATCCTCACAACCAGTCACAGAGAAAAGCCGAGCAGATCACATCCAGGAAACAATGAAACGATGATAGTCCAAACACAGTTATACACTGTTTATTAAACTCAGAGTCTCGAATTGTCAGGATAACTTCAGAACTACAGTGTGCTGCTCAAAATTGAGCAGCACTTCACTCCCCAACTCTGAATAGCACTCGTAGCACCCCCTGAGTCCCTGAAACATCAAGCGCCACCCAGATACAGCCTCCTGAGGGAAGCGTGTGACGAACCACTTCCCGACCCCGTGCCATTTTTCGTACCCTTTCTTTTGCTTGTATCATACCAACCCCAGGAAAGGCCCGTTTTGATTCCTTGCTTTTGGGTACCGCATTTTCCTTTTCTTTTTAAAAAGCTTTTTCGACTGCTTGGTTCTGTTTTTCTTTTTGCAAAATCAGGAAATACATAGGAATTTACGTGCGCCTTAGCGAGCGCACTGGGAATTGGGCTCAGCAGTTGGGAATTCCGGGATAAGCGGAATTTCGACGTGTCCTTTTTGGGTGTGCGAATGTTCTTGGACGCGTTGGGGAAAACTCTCGGAATTTTGCGAGAATACGAACAGGCGTAGGATTTTCTTTTCCCGCGTCGCTTTTTCGTGCGCGGATATGGTGTTTTGTTGATCGCGTCGTGCATACAGAAGCTTCCTCCTCTCTGTCCCCCGCATCGCTCCCTTCCCTTCTCCCTCCTTTTTCTCTCTCCCCGCAACTGTTTTTTCTTCTCCCTCTCCCTCTCTCCCGCCTTGCTTTCGCGCACTCATTTCCCTTTCTGAATCTTGGACCCGTCTTGCGCCACCTCTCGCGACTTTTCTCTTCTCACCCTCTAAGTCTGGCGTACGACCCCCGGTCGATCCCCCGATAACTCCCACTCGCCAATCAGGTGCGTGGATCGATAGGACCTTCCTATCGCGCGACGAATCTAATTGGTTGTACCTTGAGTTCCGAGGGATCAGCATGGCGTTCGTAGAGCACTCTTCTCAAAGTCTTCTCCTCCTGCTTCTCCTCTTACACCTCAGCTTTCCTGTCGCCTTCTCCCCCTTCTATCTCCCCTGTCGCAACTATAAAACCCGCAAGCGCGTCCGCAAAGCTCTCTTACATTCTCGACTCCTAAGCCAGCTTCCGGGAAGCAGTGGCTAGGCAGAGTGGATTGATGCGAGTAGGAAAGTCCTATCGGGCTGACGATAGACTGGCCGGTTGCGCGCTTGATCGCCACGACGGACTGTGGGATCCGGGCGAACCGTGTCGAGTTTACGACAACGGGGTGACGATCAAAGTGGTGGGAGTAAGCACACGACGGCCGGGATCGTCGGTGCGGGTATGAGGTTCGATGATTGGAGTTGAGTGAGTGATCGGCCCGGGGCCGTAGTGGAATTAACGGCGAATGCGCCTTTGTTGTGGATTGTTATCCTTGGCGTGAGTGAAAGGCGGCGACGCCGAACTTTTCTCGGACTTTGTCATTTTCTATTTTGACTATCTCTCTCTCTCTCTCTCTCTCTCTCTCTCTCTCTCTCTCTCTCTCTCTCTCTCTCTCTCTCCTCTTGAATGATGATG